CGGTGCAGCGCTCCAGGGTTTTGGGCGGCCTGGCACTCGCGGGTGGGGGCAGGGGTTTGGGCGGCCCGACGCTCCGGGGGTTTGGGTGGCCCAGCCCGGCACTGGGGGGGGGGTGGTCCGCGGCGCGGCGCTGCTGGGGGGGGTCAGCGGCGCAGTGCTGGGGAGGGTGTTATGGCGGGGCGGCGCTCTTCTTTTTTGCCTGGGGCGGCAAAAAAGTTAGAGCCGGCCCTGGTACGAAGTTGCCAAATAGGCAGGTGGGGTGTAACCAACAAGGGCCAAAGACATTAGCAAGATCCAACATGGCAATTTTTCAATCAATATGACAATCTACTACATTTTCAGTTAAATCATGGCTTACTAAAAAGTACTCTAGGTGAGAGAAACTGGAGAGTCCTGTAGAAAAGAAATTTTAATCCCTGGCTCTCGGACAACAAAACCTCCAAATAGCATACAGACTCAAATCTCCCTATCAGCTTGGAATACCTATCTTGTGTTGGAATTCCTATGGAAGGAGGGCACTCACCTGTTCAAAACAGGATAACATACATCATTAATGTCACCAGCAATAACAAGGGAGGAATGTTCCATGTCACTCAGGTCAGCAAAAAAAGGCATGAAAAAAAAATCAGGATTGTCACAAATAGGGGCACAGACATTAGTAAAAACAACTAAATTCTCAGCTTCAGTCTTGATGATAACATCCTTATCTGTCCTAGTATCCATAATCTTCATATTACGTTTTTTATGCAATAGGATCGCTATGCCCCTTGCTTTCGAATTATAACATGTATGGGCTATTGCCGCAACCCAGTCTCTGAAGTTTAGCAGCCTCAGTCTCTGTCAAGTGTGTCTCCTGGAGCATGGCCCCTTTAATCTTATCTCTTTTCAGCACTGAATTTTTTTTTCTGTTTTAATTGGATTATTTAATCCCTTCACATTCCCAGAGGCACACCTGATTGTCGGGAGCACTGGTTACTAGCAAAAGAACATACCACATGCAAGAATGTTGAATACAGTTAACTAGCAATAAGCAAGAAGTACAGTATCATATTTGTTCAGATACCCTTTGCCAGTCCTCCCCTACACAGCATCCTAAAGGAGAGGGAACTATGGATTTAGATGAATTACTAAGATCACCCATCATGATTCCAGAACTTCAACAGTTCAGGGCCAAGACACTCCTCTCCAGTGGACCGTGATAAAAGGGCAAAAACAGGAAGAAAAAGAAAACAGCTATGGGAAGAAAAAGGAAACATACATTAAACATACATATTTTGAGAAAGGAAATAATAAAAATCAACAAACTAAATAATAACTAACAATTTATAACACAATATTTCAGGAGGAGTAGACAGGCTGATCTTTATCTTCAGGCCAAGTACCTCACCCCTATCCTGACTCATATAACAATATCCTCTCATCATGGTTGACCTAACAAAGGAAATAATCTCCCCTCTAAAAAATAACCCCAAGATTCAATAATAACATTCAGATTTGAGTCCTGCAGTTAGACTACTGGAAGGTAAGTAATCTAATACTTGCATTGGTCAGCCCAATGATATTCCAAGCATGACCAGTAACGGCCCACACATTTGAGGATTTAAGCAACAATATATGAGGAGGATCTGTTAACAGAGAGGGTTCAACAGATATACACTGAAGCCCCCAAAGACCAACTATAGCATGTGATCAAAAAAAGACACAAGAACTAGATCCAGCAAATAGGTTGATGTTTAAATAGTATAGTGAGCCTAACTCATAGTGACCCTAACTCATAAGTCTATTTGGAGTTCTTTGAATTCAGTGTTTGCATCTGTGATGGGGTATACAAACCTCACACTGGACCAGAAGGGATTAAAAAACAGAGTTTGCGCCAACTGGAAAAGGGGTTGAAAAGGGAGCAACCCAGCTCAGAAAGGAGGAGATGAGAGAGGAAGACAGACCTACCCTGACAAAGGCACCCGAGAAGCCTCCCTGAGGAAATTGGACCATATATTGAGCCCAGCTAGGGCTGATGGTTTGGTTTCCTTTTCTTTTTCTTTTCATCTTATCTTGAACCAGCAGCTGAGAGAGAAAAGCAGGTGGTACGAAGTGACCCAGGGAGGGTAACTCAGAGGGCACCTTTGGGAGCCAGACACTGTTGACCCTCCTAGGGCCCTGGGTCGGAATCTGGTGGAGTGGGTGGGACTGGATTCCCCTACCACTACCCCTACTACAGGAAGGACCCAAACCACCTGTCCACCTCACTGCACCTTTGATTAAAGGAAAACTAGGATGGCAAGACTTACCCACCAGAAGGTGGCACCAGGGGATACTAAGCACTAGGACACCTAATCCACCAAAGCCCCTATTACAGCATGATACATATTTTAATAATCTCCAACATCCCATCAACACTGCCCTGAGATCCCCTACTCGACCTCTTCCTAAAAGGGAAAGAAGAAGGGGAATAAAGGGGGGCAGGGAGGAGGGAATGGGAGGGAAGCGAGGGAGGGTAAAGTGAACACATTTGAACACCATGCAGAACAAAGCAGTCATTCAGGCGTATGTAGTCTGACTATACTCTCCATTATGATTATGGGGCATCAGTTCAGCAAAATCTTAAATCTTTCAAACAGCACTGCCAGGAAATAAATCCATTCCAGGGATCCATTCAGCCAGTGTGGCACCGGAGCCTGGCTGCAGCCTGCTGTATTGACAAGAGAATAGGTACGTTATCCTAGCAAGTGAAGAAGAATGTCACAACCCAGAAGTTCTTTTCCTCCATTGAAAAAGTCCACTCCAGGATTTAGGTAGTGCTCAGTCGAGCAGCAGGGGAGATCTCACCTAATCCCAGCCACATTTTACATCCAGAGGGCACTGCACTTTCTGACAGCTTCCTGATGGAACAGCTGAAAATCAAAGTCCCCAGGATCCTGCTGAGGCAGTGACTTTTGCTGGTGGATATTTTTGAAGCAGGGCGTTTTACCCTCCAGGAAGAACTAAAAGGGTAAACAAATGTGAATTGGAACGTGGTGCATAATGGATTATCTCTGGGGGAATCAAGAAAATATCGTCACCACCCTGGAAATACAGAAAGCTCAGCCCATAATTCTCAAGTTATTATGGCATGATCTCCCTTCAAGGTCTTTAATTTTTGCTTTCAGGGAGTTGATCACATTGATATTATGCTGAATTTGAGTATGCAGACCTTGGATTTCATCTTCAGTGGCAGATATGTACCCTCCGCCTCTGTTACATGTCCAGACAGATTTAGTAAGGAAGAGCCAATAGACGTAATTGTAGCTTGCATTCTGGATTTGGTGGCTTTCATTGCCATTATGTCATCTACAGCCTTTTTCAATCAGGCTATAACAGCTCCACTCTCCTCCTCTGTGGGCATATTGTCTGAGAAGGGGATATCACAGCCTTTTCCAATGGTTTGCTGCCCAGGGAGCTTACAGACACAATTCAGGGGGTGCTGATGGCATTTAGACTGCTTTGTATTTTAAAAGTAGTGGTCTTTGGGATGGATGGAGCTAGATGGTGTGGGGCAGCTCAGGAGCTCAAAGAAGCTGTGCCTTCATGTACCACAGCACCACCTGGAGCTCCTGTGTTCAACATCCATCAAAGGGCACAAGTCAGTGTACAGTTTTCAATTCCTCTCATAACATGTATGAGAGAATTTTCTACATTTTTCCTTTTATCTTCCTTCCTCTTCTCCTTTTCCTCCACCTCCCCATTCCTATAAATTCTGTACTGCCAGTTCTCTTCCTAATCCAATTGCTCCTCTTCCCCCTCTCCAGTAACACCAGCTCCCCAAGGACAAGTTGCCTTTTTGGGTTAGTTGAATCTCATAACATGCAATTCTCTGGTTTAACATCACACCCGCAAATGGAATTGGTGGATTCTGAAAAAAAAATACATAACTGATGCATGTAGCATCATGCAAATAAATTCTGATATTCTATTTACTCCTATTGTAGGGTACTTCACCCAGCCATTGTATAGTGCTGCTATTAAATCAGGAGATGATGAATGGCATACCACTGCTTGAAATCTAGATAATTCTACTAAAGCAAACGCATGATTACTTGCTGACTGTTACACCCTTTAGGCAAGATTGTGAGGTGGGCTGTGCAGGTGCACCACTGGGAGTAAGGCATCCTTCATTATGTTCCTCCATGGCCTCTCTTGAACGTGGGTCCAGCCTACAGAGGTTAGTGGACTCTCTCTCTCTCTCTCTCTCTCGTGTATGACATGTGCAGAGCAACATTCTATAGATGCAGTTTTCAGTCCATAAGCCATTCCAAGATTTCCTCTGTGATGTTGTGGATATCATCCAATTCATCTTTAAATCCATATTTGGGTCACTGAGTTAGGAGGTGTTCGATGGTTTGGATCTTCTAACCACAGTCGCAAGAAGAGGAGTCTTTGGTTTTCCACTTGTGCACCAAGTAGCCGCATCTTTCATGGTTTGTTCAGATGAGGTTCAATGTGGTCCACAGTCTGCTTGGCAGGTTGAAACCAGGAGGGCAGCTTGTTGGGTCAGTAATAATGTATTTGTTTGAAACAGTAGATGAGGCCAACACACTTTGCTATTCCCTGGCTAGATCCAGGGATGGATCTGTGGTCCATCACATGTGGTCCATTGTGGTTTTCGCAATTTCAGGTGTTGTTGAGATATGCTATCCATAAACTTGCCAGATGGGAAGTTCTGTGTAGTCTTCAGTGCAGCAAAGTTCTTGTGCTGTGGCTATATGTTGATGGATAACTGGTGGTTTGAGGTTTGCTAATTCAGAAAGACACAATAGAAGTGTTGATTTTAAAGTTCCTGTGATGATCCACATGGTCTGATTCAGCTTCCTGTCCACGAGCTGGGCACTGCACACCTTCTGCTCCTACACCCTGAGCAGGTAGAGTCTTCACTCCCTAATGCACCAGCCAGAACAGCTGACCCAGTACAGGATTCGGGGAACCAGGAGAAGAGTTATATGCTACTGGTATAAAGCAGTAGCAAATTATTACCCAAACACACCCAAAGCAAGGGACCAGCAGGGCAGGAATTGTGCCTTCAGTGCACGGCTACTGCACCACCATGCTGCCGATTACACCGCCAAACCCTTTGAGTCCAAAGTCAAGGGCGGGGAAATCTAAAATCAAATTCTACCCTCAGACTCGGTGCTGTGCCTGTATGCAGTTAACAGTTTGCAATGAGCAAAAAAGGCCAGTTTCATTGATTCCACCAGAGTTACACCAATATGATCATACTGGTTTAACCAAGTGAAGCATCAGGCCCATGGAACTTAGCCTGACATCAAAGTAAGTTGGCAAAATGAGGCTGTTTGAGGAGCTGGATGAGCACGCCACAAGAGCATGCTAGTTAAAACCCTAATCAAACATTCTGTGCAGACCAGCAATGTAGCCCCAGTTCAAATGTCTTGTTTTTCCTAACAGCGTAACGAAAGTAGCAATGTTTCAGATTCTGAGCGCATTGTATTAACAATGTTTAAAGGCAGCAGTCGTCGTCCCCCAGCCCCCATCTCCAAAATATCAAGAAGAAAACAGACTGAGGATGTCTTTTTGACAATCCAAGCTTAAAAAAGACTTGCAAAGTAAGACAGCAGAGACAAAAGGTGGTAAAGTAAAACTATTAGGAAGCCTGAAAAAGTCTCAGGCTTGCACAATTACTAGGTAGTGTTGCTGTGAATGAGATTAAATCAATAAAGCGGGAGGGGAGAGAACAAACATGGACTACATTTATTTCTGTCTCTATTGACACCTGCATGCATAAAGCAGCAGCTAGGTCATTCCATGTGCTCAGCCATCTCTCACCAAATTATATATATATATATATATATATATATATATTATTTTTAAGTTAG